CTAGTAATATATTTACTGAGAACAATGGTGACGTGTTCAATACTTATTTTACCTGCTGTATATATATTAAAAAAGAAAACTTTGTTACTGCTTCATTTTCTAATCCAATTTTGATAAAGAGTTGTGTAAATCTGACCAGCAAGTCTGCAAAATATTATGATGGCTTAAAATGTGGTATTTTCCTCAAGTTTTATTTTGGTATTAATTTTGCCATTATTTTGTTTTACACAACACATTTCTGGTTGTGTATTTAACAGCATTTTTGAATACTAAAGACTTTACACAATATGCAGAAATGACCCTTTTGGCTTTCCGTTCATTATAAATTAAAAGAAAGGAATATACGTTTAATGTGTTGAATTAAACAGGAAATTTCTATATATACTGTATATATATATTACATGTAATAATACAGAAAATAGTTGTGATAAAATATTTAAAAAGTAATAATTGTTTCACTCATATGTTAATTACCAACTTAAAGAAGTTACTTGTTTCATAACAGAGTTAGCAGAATTGTAAAAAATGTCAACAAAAACTATCCATACACTCTCCCTACTGTATTTCTTTTATTAGATTAGGAGTTATTAACCTAAAACTTCAGGTTTTGAGCAGTTTCAATAAACACTGAACATAACATGAACTTCATTTTGTGTTGCAAAAATGATTTGTGACTAAAATATCTAAAATGCATTAATTATGGTTAAAGTTGTTGTTTGCAGTTGCACAGGAAACAGCATTAAATTTTGTGAAAGGAAGCAGATAGGCAGAAATAGGGACACAGTACGCTTCAGGGGAAACACTCTTAATGTGGTGTTTATTCATTCTTTTGATCCATTTTCACACAGACTTCCATGTGGGAATGCTCCTAAAGCCCAATATTGGCTGAGAGCCTTTTTATTTGTCATTATCTGTGTATCATATGAGAACATGGAAATAGATGCACAGTCAGCTCATTGTGTCGTTTAATAAAATGTTTTCACTACAAGCTTTCTTGTAAACCCACAGAAAATAATCTAGTTTATTCAGCATCGGAAAGACTTTGTGCAGATTCAACAGGCTGAATGGAAGCAGCTGATAGGCAACAGGTCAGAGCTGAAGGCTTAGTTCTTATTAACCTGTTATTTGTTGTGTTATTGTACCAGTGTGGTTGGGAAAAATTCACATAAAACAATTTACACACACATATTTATTGTCCTTGTTGACAGTAGTTGTGTTTATTATATTAAATAAAAATAATATGATGAAATGTTTCTTAAACCTTACTTTGTAGATTTTACACAAAGAGGGTCTTTTTTTCCTGTATCAGACATTCAAACAGTCACTCTACCAATCATTTTGACGCTTTTTGTGCCATCAATAAAGCCTGTTGTACCACATGTACAGTATGTTCAGCTTTGCACAGCTATTAGTCTGAACTTTTGTCTGGATCCAGGCCAAACAAGTCAGTTCAGATCCAGTTTGTGCTCTATTGCACTGAAATTAAATGCATTGTTATGATGCAGTAAGGAATGGTGTGACTTCTTTAAAGCCAAGTTCACACTGCAAGCAAATGTGACCCAAATCAGATTTTTCATGACAGTCTGAACGCAAGGGCTTAACTTTATACAGCGGGTAAAATAAGTATTGAACACGTCAACATTTTTCTCAGTAAATGTTACTAGAGGTGCTAATGACATGAAATTTTCATCAGATGTCGGTAACAACCCAAGTGATCCATACATACAAAGAAATCAAACCATAAATGTCCAGAAATGAAGTTATTTGTAATAATGTGGAATGGCAC